CTTTGATAATCAACCAATCTCTCCCATTTTCATACCTTATTTACTTTTCAGTGTTGAAGAAGTAAAACAAGTACTAAAGCACGAACAAAATGGTTTTGGTAGTTTGAGACATGCAAATGAATGAAAACAAATGAAAGCCTAAACATCTGTGCCAAACTGATGTTTTTTGTGGATCTTAGTATATATTGGTGTTTATTTACAGAAACAGATTCGGGGTTATGTTTAGGTTCAGCCCAGTGGTGGAGATCGGAGGTGTTAGAGACGCATGCAATTTGTGGTAGGGCCAATCGCCTCGTAGGCTACTTCTTTACCTGCTGTGTTCCCACAAACAAATAAATACAGCTGTTAAGCAGCTAGTTTTTTGGTGGCGAGATAAATAATCCAGATAATAGGCTGATATGTGTTTTCAAAGTAAATAAACCCTGATTGCAACGTACATCATCACCTACTGAAGTAGTTCACTAGAGGTGAAAGTGTTACACGTATCCAGTTTTCTTACCTTAGACCTAGCAGTATAGGTATACATAGATAACACAGCTATTAGTACATATGTTATTTATTTAGCATCATTGATAACAACAGCAGTACAGACAAAATCTGTACTGACAATAACAATTGTTATAAGGGATATAACTCTAGGTTACTGCCCTGTCACACTGAGCTAAAGGAAGACATCACACAATTAACTTATTGCTGTCATTTGAAGAAATCCTTCAACTGATATATCAGAATGTGTTTATCAATTTTCTGTGTGGTGTTCTGTATTTGAAGCTTAATTACTTACATCTTCTAAATACAATAATTTTGAAAGAACAGTAAAATTGAAATATTATTTTTACAAATGTCTTTATTAAAAAGCCCATACCAATTTAGTTCAGTTTGTTTTGGGTTATATAAAACATCCCCATAAGGAGTGTGTCCTAGTAGGGCTACTATATGTTGTAGGAATTTAAACCAAATGTTTTTTGCTAGGAAATATCAATTTCATCATATACAAACACAAAGTCATGCATATTTAGACTATAGAGTGACTGAACTGATGATAAACAACAATACCTTAGCCATGTACTGCTATGTAGAGTAGAGACTATGCTGTGTACTATTGTAGAGCTGACAGACTGTTGACTACAGTACATATTTATAGCTAAGGGACTGTACCAATTAACACTACCCTGATCACTATCACAATCTAATTCAATGTTTAACTTTCTTTTTAGAAACGATAATTGTTTTTTCCATTTAATCAATCATTTGGCCATGACTTGAGACAGGCAATTAGGACAACAGGTTCTGAGCGCCTTGTTTAATGCTAAATTAATGAGAAGGCATTATAATTAGATCGGCACCATAACAGAGTAATGAGCCTGAGTCAGGTGCTCTAGGGACAGATGGAGTTTACATGCATGTGATCGGACCACTTAACTTGCAGATTAATTACTTGTTAGACATAACCGCTTTATTAATCAGGGTTGATGAGTTTGTGATCCAGTGAGTACGACTGGTTTAATTACACGTTACACATTCCAGTAATATGTAACACTACATTACGGAGGCAATGATGGGTACCAGGAGTGGGATCTCTCCGTTTTATTTGCACCTGCACTTCAATGGCAAAGCCAGCTGGAAAGGGAGGAAGATGAAGGAGAGTTTCTGTGCCATACTTTTATAATATTGAGGCATTTGGCGAGATCTTTTACTTCAGTGAATATTGCATAAAGGAACGAGAGTTGTACTCACAGGACACTACACAATGTATATTGGCGATAAAAGGATTGAATTGCCACTTACTGAATAAATGCATTATGATATTGAATATGATAATGATAGCAACCATGTTGCTGGCCGTTCCAGATGCTGTATCACATTTTCCTGATGAAAATCTGATGACTTTCCTAGACTAGAGCTGCGGGAAGCCTGTAACTCAGTAATAAGGAAAAGTTCCGTTTTGGTTGATTGTCACAATCAATCAATTTGTGTCCCCAGCAACTGATTTATAAAAAGTGAAGAAAATGGGTTATATTTGAATCAAACATTATCCATCTTCAACAAAATCTGTCGGTAAATTGTGTAGACTAATTTTTAGTCTCTGCCTTTATTGTAGCATGCAAATGGGTTATAAAACGTAAATAAAAATGTTAACTGTTTATTGCAAAAAGTTGGATCAAGACAGCAAAAGGGGTTGTTAATTCCAGGTCTTCAACTCCAGTGTATCTTATAAATTGTGAGATTGTGAATTCCAATATTTCAGCTCCTGTATCTAATACATTGTATTGTAAAATGCCTCAACTATTGTTGGATTATGTATTCTGACTTTTTCTCGTTGTACCCTGCGATGTTAGAGAATGGGTGGGGTTTTTTCTCCATTTTTTGGAAAGTTTGCTGTTTGGTAATTTCTATATAAATGATGTCTAATATATATTAGACAAAGTTCAACAAATCTTCGAAGAATTGATGTCAGTTAAGTTTGACAGGAAGCTGTTTGGTTTATTCACCGTCTGACTGAAGAACAAGTGGAAGAGTAATATTATGTACACTTATGCATTTGAACAACTACTTATTTTTACTATCAATTTATTTAAAAACTGCAAAATCAGCACCATAAATATTGATTATTGCGTGAGAACGGTGACAGTTCGGTAGCACTATGGGTTAGCCACAGATTTGTACTGATTTCAAGTCATTTAAAAATGCTTATTTATGGAAAAGCACAAACAATCAAACCCTATCCAGATTGTACTAATACCTTTTGCACAGATGCCATGTTTTGTGACAGAAAAAGAAAACAATTTGTTGGGTGAATTTTGGGGAAGAGGTGCTCAAGTGTGACACCAGACTGCACTGTTGGAGTGTAGAAATAATCACTATGGATGAAGGTGAAGGGAGATGTTCCAGAAAAGAAAATGTGTACTAATTAAAGCAGGATTTTCCCCACACAAACGTCATTAGGAAGAGAGTTAGGGTGACGACATATGTATAACTTACGGTCCCGTGAGAATTGTGCCATGGCTTGTTTACTTATTCATCATTAACTAGTTACACCACAGTTAAGGTACAGCTTGGTAGCCCTGTCTTACCATGTCTGTATATACCAAGGTACAGCTTGGTAGCCCTGTCTTACCATGTCTATATATACCAAGGTACAGCTTGGTAGCCCTGTCTTACCATGTCTATATATACCAAGGTACAGCTTGGTAGCCCTGTCTTACCATGTCTATATATACCAAGGTACAGCTTGGTAGCCCTGTCTTACCATGTCTTTATATACCAAGATAGCGACATGCTCAAATATTGCTTACTCAAGTCATATTCAGTACAACACTACCAACACAAGGTTGGATGACTTGCAATAATTTGAACAACTTAGACATTTCATTCTGCTGCAAAGAATGCAAAGATCAATTCTAAGGTCACGACCTTGCTATTGAAAATCATGTTATGACAGGACAATGTTGTTATAACGATACATGGCCTTGTTATTGTTATATAGTTAACCTTCTTATACTGCCACCATTATCTCCACCCAAATGTTGGTTGATGTACAAGCCACCCTTCTATTGTAGCCTTTATATTACTAGCCATGACCTTCTCTTATAACCTGTACTAATCCATTATTGTGCTATCATAACCTTATTACTAGCCATGACCTTCTCTTATACCCTGTACTAATCCATTTCTGTGCCATCATAACCTTATTACTTGCCATGACCTTCTCTTATAACCTGTGCTAATCCATTACTGTACTATCATAACCTTATTCCTAGCCATGACCTTCTCATCTAACCTGTACTAATCCATTTCTGTGCCATCATAACCTTATTACTAGCCACGACCTTCTCCTCTAACCTGAACTAAACCATTACTGTGCTATCGTATCCTTATTGCTAGCCATGGCCTTCTCTTCTAACCTGGACTAATCCATTACTGTGCTATCATAACCTGTACTAATCCATTACTGTGCTATCATAACCTTATTACTAGCCATTGCCTTCTCTTCTAACCTGTACTAATCCATTATTGTGCTGTCATGACCTTATTACTAGCCATGACCTTCTCCTCTAACCTGTACTAATCCATTACTGTGCTATCATAACCTTATTACTTGCCATGACCTTCTCTTCTAACCTGTACCAATCCATTACTGTGCTATCACAACCTTATTACTAGCCATGACCTTCTCCTCTAACCTGTACTAATCCATTACTGTGCCATCATAACCTTATTACTAGCCATGACCTTCTCCTCTAACCTGTACTAATCCATTACTGTGCTATCGTAACCTTATTACTAGCCATGACCTTCTCTTATAACCTGTACTTATCCATTGCTGTGCTATCACAACCTTATTACTAGCCATGACCTTCTCTTCTAACCTGTACTAATCCATTACTGTGCCATCATAACCTTATTACTAGCCATGACCTTCTCTTCTAACCTGTACTAATCCATTACTGTGCCATCATAACCTTATTACTAGCCATGACCTTCTCTTATAACCTGTACTAATCCATTCCTGTGCTATCATAACCTTATTACTAGCCATGACCTTCTCTTATAACCTGTACTAATTCATTACTGTGCTATCATAACCTGTACTAATCCATTACTGTGCTATCATAACCTTATTACTAGCCATTACCTTGTTATCATAACCTTATTACTAGCCATGACCTTGTTATTGTAACCTGTATTAAGCCCTGACCATATGTTATCATAACCTGTATTCAGCCTGACCATATGTTATCATAACCTGCATTCAGCCTGACAATATGTTATCATAACCTGTATTAAGCCCTGACCTTGTTATCATAACCTGTATTTATAGCCATGACCTGGTTACTGTAACCTGTATTTATGGCATGACCTGTTTACCTTAACCTGTATTTATAGCCATGACCTGGTTACTGTAACCTGTTTTTAGCCATGACCTTGTTATGGTAACCTGTATTAAGTCATAACATGGTTATCATAACCTATATTAACTCATGACCTTGTTATTCCAGGTGGTGCTTTCCAGTGTTCCAGATCTGCAATGTGGCTTCTCTCGCGACCTCTTTGTGGCATGGTGTGGCAGCGCAAAGAACAGTATAATCCTGACCAATCGTACATCTCCTGGCACTCTCGCCCGACAACTCATTGACAATCCTGAAAACAAGACTGTTACTATGGAGGTAAGACATATGTCATTATACAAGAAGACAACAGTTCAGTTTCATAAACAAAACATATCTTTTCTGGAGAACTTTTATTTGGCAGAGGGATTTGGGGTATATTGGTTTATTTAAATTTGGAACATAAATCAAGAAAAACATTAAAAAGAATATCTAGAGATTAGATTTGAATAAAACAATTAATTATTGGTATGGAGTGCAGTGGAAATAATAACATTTTCTGTCGTATTTTATATAATGATTGCTGTTTTACAGGATGAATTGTTTGTTCAGTATGATAGTTGATATTGTGTGAAATGTTAGGAACATAGCCATGTTCTCATAGCCAACAATTTTATGTACAGACACTTTAATTTAAAATCCTTTTTAAGATTATAATATCTATGACCTTGTCAAGAAAATGTCAGCCGGTCTCCAGACTTACGATTACCTCTAAAGACTGAAATAGCTCGTTAAAAGGCAGCACCAATTTCTCCTGATAGCTGATGGACAGTCAACCATTATTAAGCAGCCATAATATCTCAAGGGCAAACGTTTTGTAACTAATGCAGCAGGTAGCTAACTCCTATACCTTACAATAGGGGGCCATGTTTTAGTGGTTTTTCAAGTGTCCTGGAAGGTCCTAAGGTCCTATATTGACCTCCTTACATATTCACATATAGCCAGGTTCTGGCTCTCAATATCATGTTGGCTCAGTATTCGAGCAGAAATCCATGCACCACTGTGCAATTTCCCATCCAGCTGAGCCATAGTTTGTTAACAGGAAAGAGAATTTCGGAACATTTTCCTGTATAATGTTATAACTGTTTGGTGATTAACTATGGAGCTGCAGGTGCTACCTCTGTCTAAACAATAGTAACACCTGCACGGTACAAGTAGTCTAAACAATAGTAACACCTGCACGGTACAAGTAGTCTAAACCATAGTAACACCTGCACGGTACAAGCAGTCTAAACCATAGTAACACCTGCACGGTACAAGCAGTCTAAACCATAGTAACACCTGCACGGTACAAGTAGTCTAACACATAGTAACACCTGCACGGTACAAGTAGTCTAACACATAGTAACTGTACACCTGCACGGTACAAGTAGTCTAACACATAGTAACACCTGCACGGTACAAGTAGTCTAACACATAGTAACACCTGCACGGTACAAGTAGTCTAACATATTATTATTTTTATTGATTTTGAGCTGACTCTGATTGGCTGAAACAACATCATGTGACCACCTGTAAAGGTAGTTATAAACCTGAGTGGTTTGCAGGTGTTCAAAAAAGTTGGTAGAACAAGTGTTATTGACCTGCTATAAATAGATTCTGGAACAGGTGTTCAAAAAAGTTGGTAGAAAAATTGTTATTGACCTGCTATAAAAAGATTCTGGAATTTTTGTAAAAAAGTTGGTAGAAAAAGTGTTATTGACCTGCTATAAACAGATTCTGGAAAAAAAATGGGGAAAAAAATGGAAAACTATATTTTTGTACATTTTTTTCTTCAATTTTGAAAAAATCAATTAAAATAATAAAACNATAATACATGAATACCAGCCTGGTCAGTAAAACAGACTGATGAGGAAATACTGTGGTTGATAGAATTCAAACAGTCAATATAGAGAAGGCCATACCGCTTTCTATCAATCACATTGTCTCTGTTTTATATTTTCTTTTTCTCGTAACATGCTTGCTGCAATATTCAAGACAATATTTAATATACGTGTAAAACCAAGCTCATTCATCCAGCCACCACTTAAAAGGTTGTGCAAATGTATCCAGACAGTTATTTTAGTGGGATAGACTTTATGCGACCTTTATATATAGACATGTTTAAGAGTGGAAGTAATTATAGAGAAATGAATTTTGTTCGATTTAGAAAGAAAAAAGTCTTTCTGTAATTTATATGACTCTGTGTAATACTGTGGGGTAGTGATCAGGTTATTTCATGCTTTTTAGGGGTTTTTTTCAGGCACCTGATTCCTACTCTGTTTGGTTGTCATGGTGATGAGACTGATAATTCAAATCCAAGATTTTTGTTGTGAATACTGTCAAAGTTAAAGGCGTTTTGTTTGTGCCCACTATACAAGGATCAGTTGAAAGAATTTAACTTGCATGTTCCTGTTTCTAGGGAATCTTTACGGAAAAACAATTCTTTGTTGTCTACCATGCTCACTGATGGATTTGATGTGCATTGAGAGCTATTTAGTTAAGTTTTGATCTTTTCTTAATAACACAATTAATGCTCATTTGTCAGTAAATGAACACAAATTAAACAGATACAAACCAACCATTACATCTACAGTACTAAAAATAAGGTCAGTCCAGCCATTAGTCCTTAAGGCAAAGGATACCACTTCATCAGTTATAATCACAAAGAAGAGTTCCTCTCTGAGTTTTCTTGACTTGGAGTATTCTCCCTTCAATATAAAAGTTGAAATAAACAAAAGCAAGCTATTCTGGCTTAGAGTAACTTCCCCTGTCAACTTTGTCATAGGTTTTGGGGTCTGTAAACTTGATATTTATTTTGATGTTTTGCTTTTATAATTCCTTAACAACAGCATTGAAAAGGCATTAGTAAAAATATCAAGTTGGACCCGTGCAGTTTTTATGTTGTTTTTCTGTTGTTGTTTTTCTATTTGCAAACAGTTAAATTTTGAACAATCTTAATTCAAGAAAATACTTGGCCGCATGTGATTTTCATGGAAAACTTCTTTTGAAAAGGATTTAACAAATATTTCTTAATAGTGGCAATGGTAATACATGGAATACAGTTTTAAACTTGTTGGTACCCTTTACCTTAAACAAATGTCAGTCCAATGAGGACACACAATGACACTCAATGCTCCCACATCATGACTGTAAGAGGCAACTAATATGGGGCCTCCTGCAGAATTGGGGGTGGGTTTTTTTCCTTGTTTTCTATTGAGGGGACATTGAAGAAATCAAGAATAGACCTGCAGGATCAGGGCTTTCCTTACATGTCTGCTAGGATCGAAGGGTTTTCCTTACATGTCTGCTAGGATTGAAGGGTTTTCCTTACATGTCTGCTAGGATCGAAGGGTTTTCCTTACATGTCTGCTAGGATGGAAGGGGACAGGATAGAGACTAGAATTGACCTATGGTTATTTACTCTTTTTCCATTGTATTGGTCTGTGCGTTGGTGTTTTAATGTCCTTAAAATACAGTAGCTGTTTTAGAATCCTAGCTTTTGCGGCTCACGGTTAAGTTAAGATGGCGTTGATTCATCATCACCGGTGGTAATGTCATATTATTCCAGCAGAAGGCGTTAAACTGTTCCTGTTCGAATTGCACAACCTGGAATATTGGCATGATTACCTGGCATCCTGGTTGCAGCTTACCAAAACCTTGGGAAAAACAGTTCATAATTTGTGCTTGTTTGTGATAATGGTCAATCAAAACACTCTTCGTCATCCGGAGAATGATAAACTTGGCATTAAGCTGTCCAGGCACTTCCTGTCTTCTGCTTCCTCTTCGCACATTTATTTTCATGGCGTAATTGCAGGGCAGCCATGATTGCATGAAACTTCTGACCTTAGGCGGACATGCTGGAACTTCCTGTCTAGACAACACGTAAAACAAAGGCTGTCCCCATAGTGTCGTAATGCTGTGTGACATCATTAAGGCCGAGTATGAGGTTTTTATCTTACAGCCAATTAAAGACAACAGTTGAACAAAAGTATTGCAGCATTTGTCATTTATTATACAACTCATTCTCTTACCTCGTACAAAGTACTATGGTGAGCTTATTTCTTCTCCCAAACTAGTAAGCAGATTTCAACCAGATTATGTTTGTAGCATATTTAACTTACTGTGATCGAAGGTTTACTAAGCAGATTTCAATCAAATTATGTTTGTAGCATATTTAACTTTCTGTGATCGAAGGTTTACTAAGCAGATCTCAATCAAATTATGTTTGAAGCATATTTAACTTACTGTGATCGAAGGTTAACTAAGCATATTTCAATCAAATTATGTTTGTAGCATATTTAACTAACGGGGATCAAAGGTTTACTAAGCATATTTCAATCAAATTATGTTTGTAGCATATTTAACTTACTGTGATCGAAGGTTAACTAAGCATATTTCAATCAAATTATGTTTGTAGCATATTTAACTAACGGTGATCAAATGTTTTACAAATAAAGGGTCTGTATGCTAGTTGTATACTAAGTTTCTACCTTGACACAACATGAGGTTTCCTTACACTAAGTTAGTTACGCATGCAGACATTTTGCCCCTGTGCAAATCAGCACACAGATATGGAAATATATCAAAATTATATATTTATCAAAAGTTAAATACCTGAACATTTCATTTATCTAAAAAAATTGTCATCAGTTCCTTATTAAACTCCTTCAGTGGCCCAGTAGTTAGCCGGAACTTATTTTAGATGGGAACTACAAACGTATGAAACACTTGCTGATTGGCTGATTTAGTTGTGTGAGTCCTTAAATTATAACTGTTGAGGGAGTGAGCAGCTTTTAGTTATCCCCCTGAGATACAGAACTGATAAGTGATTTAGTAAGCTAGGGTTTCTGGAGTACTTCCTAAAACATTGTAAGGTGTTTATGTTTGTATATCATTGTCTATATGTGCTCTAAACTGCTCCAAATCATGATATCTTAATTACATTTCCATTGATTCTTCCTCCTGTGTTCTTTTGCTCATTTTTCATCTCTGCTATTTTGTGTAACAGTAAAGGGAGTGTACAGCAATCTGGAAGGCTTCAGCTCTTTGTTTTTATGTATTGTTTGTGTTGTTTTTCAAAAAGTGCCCTTCTCTTTAATGCATTTTAATGCCACATCTGGGGACAAAAAGGCTTGAGTGGCATGTCAACCTGGTGAATTGTTTTGCAACAGAATACTTTTGAAATTCCAGACCAAGTAAATATGGTTACACTGTAAATAGCATACCATATGACCAGAGATCTGACCATGGAATGACCAGATAAATGCCCCATGTTTTAATACAATGCTGTTACACTAGAGATGGTTGCCCTATAATGACACCAGATACAGTGGCCCCGTAATCAACACACTGTAAGACCTGTTGGTACAGTGTTAATACTGTGCTGTAAGACTAGAGATGGTCGCCCTATGATGACACCAGATACAGTGGCCCCGTAAACAACACACTTTAAGACCTGTAACACTAGACAAAGTACTTCTGTCAAAAAAAAGAACCAGAAATACAATGCCGGTTTTGAGAATAGTGTGATATTTTCAGCAGGACAGTAAGTCCCAGAAGAAAAGTTTTACATGAACGGATTGTAGGAATATTCTCTCCTCTCCCATGAATCTTTCAATCAACCAATGACAGTCGTAGGATCAGGGGGCCCTGTGATGGTGTATTAGGGCTGTAAGTAGTTCTAAGTGACGTTATAACCAGTCTGTTACATCACAGTTCCAGGATAACTTGTGTCCCTATAGACAAGTGTCGGGGAAATAGTGTGTCAGGGAGGCACACATCCGTATAAACCCTGACAGGACACATGAATTGGCAACAAACATCGCTGACACAATGACAGGATCAACCCATTTCACCACAAACCAACATTGATTCAGAACTATGAAACCTTGCTTTAAAGTTTTAAGACATAATCGCCAGGGATTTGTATTAATTACTTGTCTCAACCTTCTGTAATTGCGAAAAGATTACTAATTATGCTATGTGCTCAGTGACTATGTATGATTAGTGAGTGGCAGTCCGATAAGATAAACTATGGAATCAATGTAATGTGTTTATTCTGGATTGTCTCCTCTTTCCTGCTGTGTCCTCCAAAGAGACCAACTTTTATCATGCCGTCCCCATTACAACAACTGGAACCTCTAGCGTTTCTCTTCTCTGTCACTGACATTCTTCTTTTCCTCTGGTTATCTCATTTTCAGAATAAGGTGACTTGTTTAAACTGGAATCATTTTGGTGCAATAACTGTATAATAAGCAACCCCTACACAATCTTTTACCCTCTGGGTGATGATTTGGTTGTCTTACCCTCTGCAGAGCCTCGGGTTAGACAAGCAAAACTATCAACCCTCGGGAAGGAGATTTCTCTGTCACAACCAAAAGGTGGGGAAAGATTTTATTATTAACATGACCTTAACTGTTGTGTAGACAACACTGTCACATGACTTTAGCTGTTTGTGGACACCACTGTCACATGACTTGAGCTGCATTGTGGACACCACTGTCACATGACTTGAGCTGTTTTGTGGACACCACTGTCACATGACCTTGACTGTTTTGTGGACACCACTGTCACACGACCTTGACTGTTTTGTGGACACCACAATCACATGACCTTGACTATTTTGTGAACACCACAATCACATGACCTTGACTGTTTTGTGGACACCACTGTCACATGACCTTGACTGTTTTGTGGACACCACTGTCACATGACCTGAGCTGTTTTGTTGACACCACTGTCACATGACCTTGACTGTTTTGTGGACACCACTGTCACATGACCTTGACTGTTTTGTGGACGCCACCGCCACATGACCTTGACTGTCTTATGGACGCCACCGCCACATGACCTTGACTGTCTTATGGACACCAACGCCACATGACCTTGACTATTTTGTGGACATCACAGTCACATGACTAGCTGTTTTGTGGACACCACTGTCACATGACTTTAGCTGTTTGTGTTCACCTCTGTCACATGACTTTAGCTGTTTGTGGACACCACTGTCACATGACTTGAGCTGCATTGTGGACACCACTGTCACATGACTTGAGCTGTTTTGTGGACACCACTGTCACATGACCTTGACTGTTTTGTGGACACCACTGTCATATGACCTTGACTGTTTTGTGGACACCACTGTCACATGACTTAAGCTGTTTGTGGACACCACAGCCACATGACCTTGACTGTTTTGTGGACACCACCATCACATGACCTTAACTGTTTTGTGGATACCACAGTCACATGACCTTGACTGTTTTGTGTACACCACTGCCACATGACCTTGACTATTTTGTGGACAACACACTCACATGACTAGCTGTTTTGTGGACACCACAGTCACATGACTTTAGCTGTTTGTGGACACCACTGTCACATGACTTTAGCTGTTTTGCGGACACCACTGTCACATGACTAGCTGTTTTGTGGACACCACAGTCACATGACTAGCTGTTTTGTGGACACCACGTGCACAGTCACATGACTTAAGCTGTTGTGTAGACACCACAGTCACATGACTAGCTGTTTTGTGGACACCACAGTCACATGACTTCAGCTATTGTGTAGACACCACCATCACATGACCTTGACTGTCTTGTGGACACCACCACCACATGACCTTGACTATTTGTGGACACCACTGTCACATGACTTAAGCTGTTGTGTAGACACCACCATCACATGACCTGGACTGTTTTGTGGACACCACTGTCACATGACAATAGCTATTGTGTAGACACCACTGTCACATGACTTTAGCTGTTTTGTGGACACCACCACCACATGACCTTGACTGTTTTTTGGACACCACCACCACATGACCTTGACTATTTGTGGACACCACTGTCACATGACTTTAGCTATTGTGTAGACACCACTGTCACATGACTTAAGCTATTGTAGACACCACCACCACATGACCTTGACTATTTGTGGACACCACTGTCACATGACTTTAGCTATTGTGTAGACACCACCATCATATGACCTTGACTGTCTTATGGACACCACTGTCACATGACTTTAGCTATTGTGTAGACACCACTGTCACATGACTTAAGCTATTGTAGACACCACCACCACATGACCTTGACTATTTGTGGACACCACTGTCACATGACTTTAGCTATTGTGTAGACACCACCATCATATGACCTTGACTGTCTTATGGACACCACTGTCACATGACTTTAGCTATTGTGTAGACACCACTGTCACATGACTTAAGCTATTGTAGACACCACCACCACATGACCTTGACTATTTGTGGACACCACTGTCACATGACTTTAGCTATTGTGTAGACACCACCATCATATGACCTTGACTGTCTTATGGACACCACTGTCACATGACTTTAGCTATTGTGTAGACACCACTGTCACATGACTTAAGCTATTGTAGACACCACCACCACATGACCTTGACTATTTGTGGACACCACTGTCACATGACTTTAGCTATTGTGTAGACACCACCATCATATGACCTTGACTGTCTTATGGACACCACTGTCACATGACTTTAGCTATTGTGTAGACACCACTGTCACATGACTTTAGCTATTGTAGACACCACCACCACATGACCTTGACTATTTGTGGACACCACTGTCACATGACTTTAGCTATTGTGTAGACACCACCATCACATGACCTTGACTGTCTTATGGACACCACTGTCACATGACTTTAGCTATTGTGTAGACACCACTGTCACATGACTAGCTATTTTGTTGATACCACAGTCACATGACAATAGCTATTGTGTAGACACCACTGTCACATGACTAGCTGTTTTGTTGATACCACAGTCACATGACAATAGCTATTGTGTAGACACCACTGTCACATGACTTAAGCTATTGTGTAGATACCACCATCACATGACCTTGACTATTTGTGGACACCACTGTCACATGACTTTAGTTTTTCAAAAGGTGTACATGTACATCCCAAACAAGCAAACTTGTTTTTAGTTTGTATTTATTTTCCCAGTAAGCAGTCTTTGCAGTCGTAAGGGTTATACTAAGTACAGCTCACTTCTACATAATACATTTGTATATTACCAGCTAATCCCACTGTTAATATAGATATTCTCGGCTGGTTTGAAAATCTGTGATAAAGAAAATTATTATTCTGTTGCTTGATGATTGTATACCTCTATAGTTATATTTGTTTCAAGGAGATATTAAACTGTTAATTAAGAGATAAGCGTTTTGAGATAACATCCAGCTTCATATTAATATTTTGTTACAGATACGGAGGAGAATTAAGCTAGAAGGAGGTGAACTGGATGACTACTTGAAAAAGAAGCAAGAAAAAGTAGCAGAGATGGCACGAGTGAAGAATGAGCAAGAAAAGTAAGTTTTCTGGGGTAGATCTCCTGTACTTCTGATGGTTGAGTGTGTGACTGGGGTAGATCTCCTGTATTTCTGATAGTTGAGAGTGTGACTGGGGTAGATCTCCTGTACTTCTGATGGTTGAGTGTGTGACTGGGGTAGATCTCCTGTATTTCTGATAGTTGAGAGTGTGACTGGGGTAGATCTCCTGTACTTCTGATGGTTGAGTGTGTGACTGGGGTAGATCTCCTGTATTTCTGATAGTTGAGAGTGTGACTGGGGTAGATCTCCTGTACTTCTGATGGTTGAGTGTGTGACTGGGGTAGATCTCCTGTATTTCTGATAGTTGAGAGTGTGACTGGGGTAGATCTCCTGTACTTCTGATGGTTGAGTGTGTGACTGGGGTAGATCTCCTGTATTTCTGATAGTTGAGAGTGTGACTGGGGTAGACCCCCTGTATTTCTGATAGTTGAGAGTGTGACTGGGGTAGATCTCCTGTATTTCTGATAGTTGAGTGTGTGACTGGGATAGATCTCCTGTATTTCTGATAGTTGAGAGTGTGACTGGGGTAGATCTCCTGTATTTCTGATAGTTGAGAGTGTGACTGGGGTAGATCTCCTGTACTTCTGATAGTTGAGAGTGTGACTGGGATAGATCTCCTGTATTTCTGATAGGTGAAAGTGTGACTGGGATAGATCTCCTGTATTTCTAATAGGTGAGTGTGTGACTGGGGTAGATCTCCTGTATTTCTGATAGTTGAGAGTGTGACTGGGGTAGATCTCCTGTATTTCTGATAGTTGAGAGTGTGACTGGGGTAGATCTCCTGTACTTCTGATAGTTGAGAGTGTGACTGGGATAGATCTCCTGTATTTCTGATAGGTGAAAGTGTGACTGGGATAGATCTCCTGTATTTCTAATAGGTGAGTGTGTGACTGGGGTAGATCTCCTGTATTTCTGATAGTTGAGAGTGTGACTGGGGTAGATCTCCTGTATTTCTGATAGTTGAGAGTGTGACTGGGGTAGATCTCCTGTACTTCTGATAGTTGAGAGTGTGACTGGGATAGATCTCCTGTATTTCTGATAGGTGAAAGTGTGACTGGGATAGATCTCCTGTATTTCTAATAGGTGAGTGTGTGACTGGGGTAGATCTCCTGTATTTCTGATAGTTGAGAGTGTGACTGGGGAAGATCTCCTGTACTTCTGATAGTTGAGAGTGTGACTGGGGTAGATCTCCTGTACTTCTGATAGTTGAGAGTGTGACTGGGATAGATCTCCTGTATTTCTGATAGGTGAAAGTGTGACTGGGATAGATCTCCTGTATTTCTGATAGGTGAAAGTGTGACTGGGATAGATCTCCTGTATTTCTAATAGGTGAGTGTGTGACTGGGGTAGATCTCCTGTATTTCTGATAGTTGAGAGTGTGACTGGGGAAGATCTCCTGTACTTCTGATAGTTGAGAGTGTGACTGGGGTAGATCTCCTGTACTTCTGATAGTTGAGAGTGTGACTGGGATAGATCTCCTGTATTTCTGATAGGTGAAAGTGTGACTGGGATAGATCTCCTGTATTTCTGATAGGTGAAAGTGTGACTGGGATAGATCTCCTGTATTTCTAATAGGTGAGTGTGTGACTGGGGTAGATCTCATGTATTTCTGATAGTTGAGAGTGTGATTGGGGTAGATCTCCTGTATTTCTGATAGTTGAGAGTGTGACTGGGGTAGATAACCTGTATTTCTGATAGTTGAGAGTTTGGCTGGGGTAGACCCCCTGTACTTCTGATAGTTGAGAGTTTGGCTGGGGTAGACCCCCTGTACTTCTGATAGGTGAGTGTGTGACTGGGATAGATCACCTGTATTTCTGATAGTTGAGAGTGTGACTGGGATAGATCTCCTGTATTTCTGATAGGTGAGTGTGTGAAGGGGGTAGATAACCTGTACTTCTGATAGGTGAGAGTGTGACAGGGTCAGATTTGTATTTCTGATAGCTCAGTGTGTGATGGGGGATTGTGAAGACAAAATACTGGTTATAGTGTCAGTTGTATTGGACTTTGCTGTTGTAGGATGTACAGGTTTGTTTTACAGACATTTACAGTACAAATCACTTCCTGTGTGGTACATGCAGTCTGAGCATTGCATGTGTACTTTTAAAACAATCTTATCTCTAAAACTTTATGAAACTTGGAAGTTTTGAGATATATATTTCACATGAATTAAAACAGTTTCTAAAGAGCAGAAATTGAAGAAAGATTAAATTAGATTAAAATCAGTTCATTTTGAAGTATAGTTTCTCTGCTGTTTTATCATTCTCACAAATAGATCCACAAAGATATATATCCAGCTTTCTGCAGCAATCTTGTTTGTCAAACACAAGGAAAATTTATCTTTAAATACACTTTCCTTTTTGGATGACAGAAAAAGAGTTATTTCTAAGGTCTAAAAACTGTTGTTTACCACTCATGTAACGTTTCTGACATGTGTTGTAGAAGTAAGCTTAGAAACCCTGGAATAGGTACCATGTGACAAAATTTACTGTTCTCTACAAAAAGTTAAAGAAGTGAGAGAGCAATATGTTGATATCATCTGAATCGGGTGCTTATGAAAATGAACAAAGCATTCTACAAAAACCATCATATATCTGTTTCACCCTGGATATCAGAACCAAGGTCACGGCAACCTACTACAAGGTCACCGAGGCCTCCCACGAAGATTATCAGGTCATAATTAAACGTATCATCAACCCACATTGGTTATAATGGACTTGTATTAAAACAAGCTGGGATGAATACAACCCCATAAATCAAACCTCTCGTAAACTTACACCAACTAGACTTAATGGGGTACCTGTTTATTTTGGGAAGAAATATAATTACCTGGTACATTCTGTATTCAATATAGCTTAAATGTCCGTCTCTTCAAATAGCACATCTGATAAAACTTGATGAATCATATATAAGTTTTGAATCAAAATCAGTCTTGTAAGACATGTAAACAAGGTCTAAATAGCTGTTTCCACTATATCTTATTGTTTTCAAGTAGCATAATTATAAATATTGTCTGTGATCAGTTGGTAATTATTAGGATTCTTCCGTGGGAACTGTTAATGATAAGTTGGTAATTGACCGTGGCCCACACTTAGCCTACACGGTACACACACCACAATCTGTAGGGGATCCATCTCTCGCAGTCAACAGGATGTTGGGCCTTAGCTCAAATGAATCCTGATGAATTTACAGGATCTAGACGTTAATGATTGGTATTGTAATAAACTTGTATACACAGACTGTTCCCACCAATGTAGAATATTGTTTGGTATTCAAATCGACCAACAGGTTGTACCGATTGTCATTATATTACTGATTGTGTAGTCCGTAAAGTTTTCAGCTAGTTGGAAATATCTGCAATAAATGTTCACAATGATTTATCAACTAGTCTGCCCAAACATAACATCAGGCTTACAGTTTAATGAGAATGCCAAATTGTTACAAAAAAATCCCGTTTTAGAACTCATTTTATAATTCATTGAAATATAGTAGCCCATCAAAACTACAAGTGATTGATTAGGTAAATAAACATTTTTACATAATTTCCAGTGACCTTGATGACGAGTCCAGTGATGAAAGTGAGGCTGAGATGGACATTGACACGTACGCCTCAGGCACCAAAGGAAAACATGATCTCATGATGAAAAGTGAAGTAAGTGATTTTTACTGACATAAAGCTAACCTTTTCACAACTGTAAACCATAATGGACACATCCATATCAATGCATAGTAGAGTCTACTTAAGTTACATAGGGGTGAAAGGTTAACCTATGCTGAGCTTGTGAATCAAAATATACAACATGTCTCTGGTATTCACATTACCTCTACATTATATTGATTGACCACAATATATAATATTGGTTGACCTCACAACATAATATTGGTTGACCCCAATATGTAATATTGAATTGACCTAATTACTACAACAACATTGGTTGACCTTCAACCACACTGCAATAACATATATAGGTTGACCTAGGCCTTACTTCAGTAACATTAGTTGACCTTATTACGATGACATTGGTTGACCTTCACATGCACACCTGACCTTGATTGACCTTTACTGCGTTATCTCCTGCTGAGTTGTTATCGTATTAGTGTGTAATACACAAGGGCTTAATAACACTGAATATATTGTTGAAACAGTAATTTTAGCAATTTATCTTCAATGTAATCGTGTCACGCCGTGTATATACCCAGAGGGCAGTGTTGACTTCCTGTTCGTGTTATTGTTCCTCTGTGTCTTGTATTTGATGTTTTACATTATTAAGACATTATTTTTGTTATCATGTTTTCATGTCAAATTTACCATGACAATACAGACCGATAACATTTTTATATTTCCTTTAAAACTGAAAGCATGCAATTTGGAAAATAAATTGAAATTTTATGACTGGACATGTTATTTATGGAGACAGTTCAATGTTACAGCTATTTAGCTATAGAGACACTGTACAATTTGTTACTGTCACATTACTCGTCACAGCCCACACCCTGTGAATGGTATACCATCATTTTATACACAGATCATTTAAAACAGCAAAGATTTATCATCAAAGTTCCAGTATAGGGAACATACCTCATCAGTCTGTGATCTGTAGGATAAAGGTTAGAAGCTGATGTAGATTTATATGACTTGTATATACAAATGTAAAGGTTATAGAAAGTGTGAGATTTCCCTGAGAAAGTGCCTATCAGAAGTGACAACAGGTTAATTCTGTGTCACTGCATTGTAGAATGTATCCACCATACATATCAGTTACCTTATTATGTGAACAATTATCTTTTTGTCAAAAATTGTTTTCATCACCGTTTTGTAATGTGCAGATAATGTGTCAGTAAAAGTCTAATCCAAATATTGAGAAAGTTTACAAAACAGGAGCATTATTGTACACTTTGGTAAACTATTCTTGTCTGCAGATATATTATCACAGGGTTGTAGTCTACAGATATATCATCACAGGGTTGTTGTCTACAGATATATTATCACAGGGTTGTAGTCTACAGATATAGCATCACAGGGTTGTAGTCTACAGATATATCGTCACAGGGTTGTAGTCTACAGATATATCATGACAGGGTTGTAGTCTACAGATATATCATCTCAGGGTTGTAGAAGTACTTGTCTTCAGATATATCATCACAGGGTTGTAGAAGTTCTTTTCTGCAGATATATCATCCCAGGGTTGTGGAAGTTCTAGTCTACAGATATATCATCGCAGGGTTGTAGTCTACAGATATATCATCTCAGGGTTGTAGAAGTTCTTGTCTACAGATATATCATTACAGGGTTATAGTCTACAGATATATCATAACAGGGTTGTAGACGTTCTTGTCTACAGATATATCATCCCAGGGTTGTGGAAGTTCTAGTCTACAGATATATCATCGCAGGGTTGTAGTCTACAGATATATCATCACATGGTTGTTGTCTACAGATATATCATCACAGGGTTGTAGAATTTCTCGTCTACAGATATATCATTACAGGGTTGTAGTCTACAGATATATCATAGCAGGGTTGTAGAAGTTCTTGTCTACAGATATTTCATCCCAGGGTTGTAGTCTACAGATATATCATCAGAGGGTTGTAGAAGTTCTTGTCTCCAGATATATCATCACAGGGTTGTAGAAGTACTTGTCTTCAGATATATCATCACAGGGTTGTAGAAGTTCTTTTCTGCAGATATATCATCCCAGGGTTGTGGAAGTTCTAGTCTACAGATATATCATCGCAGGGTTGTAGTCTACAGATATATCATCAAAGGGATGTATAAGTTCTTGTCTACAGATATATCATCACACGGTTGTAGAAGTTCTTGTCTACAGATATATCATTAATGTGCAGATAATGTGTCAGTAAAAGTCTAATCCAAATAATGAGAAAGTTTACAAAACAGGAGCATTATTGTACCCTTTGGTAAACTATTCTTGTCTGCAGATATATTATCACAGGGTTGTAGTCTACAGATATAGCATCACAGGGTTGTAGTCTACAGATATATCGTCACAGGGTTGTAGTCTACAGATATATCATTACAGGCTTGTAGAAGTTCTTGTCTACAGATATATCATTACAGGGTTATAGTCTACAGATATATCATAACAGGGTTGTAGAAGTTCTTGTCTACCGATATATCATCCCAGGGTTGTAGTCTACAGATATATCATTACATGGTTGTAGAAGTTCTTGTCTACAGATATATCATTAATGTGCAGATAATGTGTCAGTAAAAGTCTAATCCAAATAATGAGAAAGTTTACAAAACAGGAGCATTATTGTACCCTTTGGTAAACTATTCTTGTCTGCAGATATATTATCACAGGGTTGTAGTCTACAGATATAGCATCACAGGGTTGTAGTCTACAGATATATCGTCACAGGGTTGTAGTCTACAGATATATCATCTCAGGGTTGTAGAAGTACTTGTCTTCAGATATATCATCACAGGGTTGTAGAAGTACTTGTCTTCAGATATATCATCACAGGGTTGTAGAAGTACTTGTCTTCAGATATATCATCACAGGGTTGTAGTCTACCGATATATCATCACAGGGTTGTAGTCTACATATATATCATCACAGGGTTGTAGTCTACAGATAGATCATCACAGGGTTGTAGAAGTTCTTGTCTACAGATATTTCATCCCAGGGTTGTAGTCTACAGATATATCATTATAGGGTTTTAGAAGTTCTTGTCTACAGATATATCATCATGTACACTTTGGTAAACTATTCTTGTCTGCAGATATATTATCACAGGGTTGTAGTCTACAGATATAGCATCACAGGGTTGTAGTCTACAGATATATCATCAGAGGGTTGTAGAAGTTCTTGTCTCCAGATATATCATCACAGGGTTGTAGTCTACCGATATATCATCACAGGGTTGTAGTCTACATATATATCATCACAGGGTTGTAGTCTACAGATAGATCATCACAGGGTTGTAGAAGTTCTTGTCTACAGATATTTCATCCCAGGGTTGTAGTCTACAGATATATCATTACAGGGTTTTAGAAGTTCTTGTCTACAGATATATCATCTCAGGGTTGTAGAAGTTCTTGTCTACAGATATATCATCCCATGGTTGTGGAAGTTCTTGTCTACAGATATATCATTACAGGGTTGTAGAAGTTCTTGTCTACAGATATTTCATCCCAGGGTTGTAGTCTACAGATATATCATCACAGGGTTGTAGTCTACAGATATATCATCAAAGGGTTGTATAAGTTCTTGTCTACAGATATATCATCACAGGGTTGTAGCCTACAGATATATCATCACAGGGTTGTAGAACACTGTTAACACTCCCCCCTAGAAAACAGATTTTTTTAACTTTTATTTGAAGTACGCATTTGTTTTGGCAGTGTGTAATGTATGTGACTACATCGGCATGAGATTCACAAGTCCAGACATTCACCCATTTTGAGGGAACACAAATCAGACTCTGAATCCCTCCGGTCACAGGACAGGTACATCCAGCACTGCTATCCCATCATTAACAAAGACTGGGGGGTGGGCTCATAAAGTTTCATTCAATTTAGAATTTTAAATTGTTCTCATGAGATGAAAAACAATGACAGCTGTAATATGAGAGGCTGCTTTATTGGGTTAGTTGTGAAATCTTAGCCATTCAAGCCAAAAAGCATTTAGAAATTGCATGCCTGTATTGATCCCTGGCCACCTTCTGTCATAACCAATGTCTGTGTCAAAGATCAGGGAAAATATTAACAACAATACAATTTGTGTTGATGATCTGGAACATAAAAACACTGTTATTCCTAGCAAATCAACATTGACTTTTGATATAGTTATACTACTGCATGTCTGTACCATTAACACATTAGATTTACTAGTGTGTCACCTACAAGTCAAATGTACCAGCCTAGTTTATCATCTGTGTTAGCACTAAACATATCACAGGAGATTTAGTCCCACACAGGCAATACTGTTAATGTTGTATAGGAACAAGGCTTAGCTTTTGTAATATGTGGAGTCCTCTGGTTATTAGCTCACCTTGCATGAAGTCTGTTCGTCGAGGACCTAGGACAATGCTATTTGGCCAGTAGGTACCTATATTTGAGTGCTATAAAGTTTCCTCAAATGGATAACCTTGACTTACTTTCAAGATCACAAGGGTTAAATGTGTTAAAAAACATTTAAACTTCTTCTATATAACCAAGAGGCCTAGAATAATGATTTCTGGCCAGCAGCATGCTGTGATGTTGTGCTATTATAATCCTTAAGTAAATGACCTTGACCTTTTTTCAAGGTCACAAGCATCAAATAAGATAAAACCTTAAAACAACACCTTCTGCATAACTAGAAGGCCCTGGGTGATGATATTTGACCAGTAGCATGCTGGGAAAGAACACTATAAAGTTGCCTCAAGTAATGACTTTGACCTACTGTTTAGGTTGTAGGGGTCAAATGTGTAAAAATCTGAAAACAACTTCATCCTAATAATGAAGAGTGCCAGGGTGATGATAGTTGGCCAATAGCATGCTGGGATAGAGAAGTACAAAGTTTCATCAAAATAATTACTTTGACCTTCTTCACCAAATTTAGTATGAAATATCCTTGAACCAAGATGACTTAACTTTGTATAAACAAAGGGTCTGGCTCCCCAAAGTGCAGCAGAATAAGGCT